CCATAGCAGAATGTGTGTGAGTCAGTCAGTGTGTGTGTGTGTGTGTGTGTGTGTGTGTGTGTGTGTGTGTGTGTGTGTGTTTCGTCTCTCTCTTTGTGACACCTACCGTGATTCTCCTGTCCCTGTTCCTGTAGATAACAACCCTTTCTCCACTTCCATGAGCCAAACTGGACTCACTCCCGATTGTAATACAATGTACCAGCTGCCATGTGGGTAAACACACTAGCAGGTAGCTAGCGGATGTGATGACAGAGTGAAAGAGTGTGTTTGCAGTCAGCAGAGGAAATGACAGCAGCAGTGACTGATTTTTGGTCCCAGAAGACCAAAGATAACACTGTGCTGGCAAATGCTAATCGACTTTGTGTGTTCAGAAGTGTACTATCTGCACGAAGGACGGCTGGAAAATTCAGCACGTCCCCTGCGAAGCATCCCTAATCCATCCCTTTCCTTCCTTAGGGCTCATCATAGACTGTATATAAAATACTGCATCAAACATTCATATAGTAAGCTTTATGCCAACAAAATACTGCATAGTCAGTCATGTGAAAGCTCTGTGACAGCATTTTGCAACTTTTTGGAACTTTTTTATCTTTTGGTCCCACCCACGTGGTAAGAAATATAGATACAGTTACAAAGTAATGCACCAGGGATGTGTGGCTGCATGGATTTGGCTGATTATAGATGATACTGGGTTGCACTGCAGAAAAAGTTGAGCCAGGTTCAACTTATTCAACTGTGTTGTTTGGCTGGAGCCCAGGGGTGCAGCATCAACAGAATAGCCATATCCAAACAAATGAAAAAGCTTTTCCACACAGGCCTTCTGTTGGTTGAGCAGTCTGTTCTTTTTCTTTTGAAGATTATTTAAGCAAGCATTAAGGGGGGGAAAGGGCTATTGGCGTCCTATCACTAATAAACATGCAGGCTTAGGGAACCAAGAATTAAAGACAAATGTTTGTCGGGGGTATTTTGCTGTTTTATGCTTCTTTTTTTCTTTTTCTGTTTTTACTGTATGATCTTGCTGGAGTTCAGTGAGCTTCATAATACTTAATGAAACTTTTTATGAGCCATGAAAAAAATAAAAACTACCACATTAGTCATCCTTATTTTGAATGAAAGTAAAAGACACAGAGATAGCTTTATATTTTATATACAGACAGATTTATGAACACTTTCAACTGGTCTGTGCAAATCAACAAGTTATTTTTGCCTCTACCAGCCAATCCTTTTTCATGCTCTGTAACAAGAAGAGTGCTGTTAATGGACTTCAGTTCTCTCACCTTTATCTCTTTGCCTTTGCTCTCTGTTGCAGTCATTAGTGATTTTTAACATTTCTGTTCTCAAGAGCTTTAAAATGGATTTAACTCAAAGATGCCTCAAAAGTCATTAGATTCTTATTTTGTCATCAGTGATAGCCAGGAAGTTATATTTTTAGGTTAAGTAGCGTTTCTTAGAGTGTCAGCTGAGCTTACATGTGAGGCTTTTCACTTGTTTAGACAAAACCATTTATACCATCTTTTTTGTTTAAATTTTGAATCATAAAACACATACTCTTCAAATTCAAACTGTAAAGGAAAAGAACCAGCAGCACTAAGTCCCCATAATGTGAAAGCAAATTCATTCTAAAATGAGCAACAACCTCCACATAAATCCAAACGTGATGTTAAAGCCAGGCTCATCTTGTTCTGAAGCAGTGGGGCGGACCAGAGAGCCAGTGAGCTGCCCAGAGGAGGCTGAAACTGTTAAAATGGCTAATTGGGTTTCATGTCATTAGCGCGTTTTGAGGTCATCAGATTAATTCCCCAGACTACCAAGAGACATTTGAGCAGGAAAAGAAATGAAGTGATACTCCACATTTACATCATTTACAATACAGTAGAAGCCAAATGTGGGCTCATCTTACACCACTGCCCAGAAGTCAGTGTTATATCAAACAAAACCAGGGTAATCTGGAAAGCAGTCCTCTTGATGATTTTAATAAAATGACCATGCTTTATGAGTAAGTCATCACAAGACGATAAACCTGATCAGACATTTGATGGAAGCTTTTGGGCTCTGACGCATCCAGAGATACTATAGACCAGCGGTCCCCAACCTTTTTTGTGCCACAGGCCGGTTTATGTCCGAAAATATTTTTACAGACCGACCTTTAAGGTGTCACGGATAAAAACAACAAAATAAAACCAGTACCGATACCAGAAAAAAAGAAGATATATTCATGACACACAGGGAAAGACCCAGTGAAACTGAGTTAACGATAAAAAAAATAATGATAACAACCGCTAAAAACTCTGAAAACCATAAATTTCACACCCGAGCCTCAACTCTCGCGGCCCGTTACCAAACGACTCACGGACCAGTACCGGTCTGTGGCCCGGGGATTGGGGACCGATCCATTTCTTGTGTGGGGGGTTGTGCTTTTGCAGGTGTGAATATATCTTTCTGTGGACAGATTTAATCAATGCTTTGCCATCAAACACAAAACTTTAAAGTTGTACATTTGAAAAAAAACAAATTGAAAAAAAATTGAACAAGTGGTTGAGTTTGAAGATGGTAATGCTACAACCCATAAATAGTAAAAAGATCCTGCAAAGTGTGACAAGGAGGCCATTTTTATCTCAAATATAGGATAAATCAACAAGTATCTAAATTATACTATCCCAAGTACTCAAGGAAAACAGTGGTCTGAAGATTCGATGCTGTACTTTTTGTGACTAAAATGTATTTATATATAGATGTTTTTTGTATGTTAATGATTCACATCAAACAGCTGACATTTTAAACCTCATTTCATATGTAAGGAAGTGCTAAATCTTCTCGTTTTAATAAGTATATGTTGATCCATGTCTTGTGGACGCTCAAATCTCACTTCCTTTAGTCAGTCTTCCTTAAAGATGATCTGCTCATCCTGCCCAGTGTTTAAACCCATGTGTGCTTTGCTGTGACAAGATTTTGGATGGGTTTTTTTTTTTTTTTTCGTAATTGCCGTAACCAACATATTAGACTTTGAAATAAGAACAAAGTGGGTCGGCTTTTTCAAATGATGAATATTTAAAAACATCAGCCTTGCCCATATGAAATCCTTTAAAAAACCGACCATGTTTTATTAGTAAGTCAACACAACACGATAAACCTGATCAGACATTTGATGGAGGCTTTTGGGCTCTGACGCCATTTTATACTCAGCCCAGTAAAAACATATTGTTAGCAGCCCAGATATATGTCTGACCTTTGTGTGACTGCAACTCATTTTAGAGAATGGACTTCTTGTTTTATGTAGGAACCGATTTTCTTCAGGCCTCCTGCAAGGGGTTGAATGAATGCATGTCAAAGAGGCCAGTGGATGTATGTTGAATTTTAAATAGTGGAGATTGCCACCAGGGCTTTAACGAGTAAGATAATTGGACAGGCACTTGCCATGACAAATTTCACTGACATACTGTGTGCAAACATTATTGTCATTAATCATTTCTCTGCATCTCTTTCTGGCCCCACGTGCACATGCATTCAGCCAACATGATCATCTGTCTATTTTTTTAATGACATAGCACTAAGCCTAAAGTACAAATATCCAGTAACATGTTGTTGCATGGTGGGTAGACTGTAGGAGTTTGCACATTGTGCAGCCGTTTTATACTTTGCTCATTATTGTGGCTGATTGACAATAAGTTTGTCACTCTAACACTCAGAAGAGATACTTGTCATCTTCTGAGTCAGCTAATGCATTGAGCAGCAAAAAAGAAACAATGGTTCTGTATTTCATAAGTTTGGACTTTTATATTAATTCAAGGAGAGTTTTTCCAAACTTCACTTTCAGACAAAAAATGTAGCTCTACCTGAGGAGGCAGTGTTACGGTGACCCAGTGCAGTGCATTTTGTGAACTTGCGTCATTGCACTTCACAGCGGAGTACCTCCATGTCCCTGAACACTCTGAAAGGAGGAGAGCTTAACAGTATAAAAGGCAAAGGTTTGGAAGCCCTTCTTTAATATTCCTGTAAAGAAAAGCTTTCATTACGGACTCCTTTCCTCTTGTCTTCTCTCTTCTCTGCTCTCCTTCTTCTTTCCATGGCCAAGACAGCATCTCTCTGCATACTAAGCAGGGCCCCATACGGCCCAATTTGCACTGCCCAATTTACTGGTGTCGCTTCACATTTGTTGGGGGAGAAGCTGAGGCCATTTCCCTGATCCTCGCAAAGAGGGAAGGGGCACGAGAGATGGTGAGGATGAGGGAAAACTGGAGGTGGCTCAACTGACAGATCAAGCCTGAACCACATCAACTATGACATTTAAACTTATACACGTTATATTCACAGACACACATGCACACATACACAGTCCAAAGCATAAAATGAGAAGCCAAACACACACCGCATTACAACTCACAGTTGCACAGCTAACCCCCAGAGAGATGAGGAGAGAATAGATGGGAAAGATGAAGGGAAAGAAGGAGGAAGGGTTTGGGGGGTGGGGATAAGAGGGAGGGACAGACACTGTGCTGACAGGGCTGTGACAGCGCTTAATTACCAAGCGAGCACTGCACACTGGAAGCAATTTCTAAGGATTGTTGTCATTTGAATAGATTAAAACGCCCTTTCACTGGACTAAGCTGTCTCACCAGCGACTTGGCTCTGCTGTAGATGAAAAGTCCGAGGCAAATCAAAGAGGAGAAGACACCAGCAGAGCCAGAAATGGAGGGAAGGAGGCAGAGAGGGGTGTCACAGAGGGCACTAACAGCAACACCATGTAGGGTTTTTTGTTTGTTTGTTTTTTGCTGCAGAACAGGAACATGTTGTGTGTGGATGCAAACATAAACACTAAATTAATGATGGTCTCCCTCTCTTAATGCCCAAATCGTCCTACCTCTTTCCCTTGCAGCACCATGTGGGTGTTTTAACAATTAAAAAAATCTCACTTGTCTTCCCTTGTGGATTTAAATTGACTAATAACTGTCTTTTTCAATTATCTTCCCCTTCTCTTTCACTACCCTCCTACATACCCGCAGACACCGAAGGCTGCGAGCACACATGGAGGAAGTTTCATGGCCACTGCTACAGATATTTCACACGCAGACACACCTGGGAGGACGCTGAGAAAGACTGCAGGGAGCACAATGGCCACCTTGCCAGTATCCACAGTGTGGCTGAGCAGAACTTCATCAGAGGTGAGTAAGGAGAAACGGGACAATAGCAGATTTGGCACAGAGTGCAGCTCTTTCTGATGTTGTTACTCTGCAGAAAAACTAAAGTTAGGAAGACAAATTTGGACATTCAAGGGCCAGTAAGTCTTGCTGTTAGATGACAGCTCACTTGAGCATGCCCGAGGTTAGGTGGACATAAAATCTCCAAGTTGAAACCTCAGTTAATGAGACTCTAGCAACTTTGACACAGCCATTCTAGGAGCTAAATGCTCACAACAGCATAGTAACAGCAGCACCATGCTGATGCCACCTCCTTAGTGTTTCCGCCTCATGTTTACCGTGTTCATTGTCAGGAGCTGAGGCCTATGTGCAGTTCTGTTTGCAACGTAGCCGTCCACTTAGTTTATGATTGTTTATGATACCCACATCCATTCATCCATCCATTTTCTGCCACAGTCTGGGTCACAGGGACAGAGATGCCAAGACCTACTTCTCCCTAGGCATCCCCTCCAAGGGGACAGTGAGGTGTTTCCAAGCCAGCCAAAACATATAATTTCTTCAGTTTATCCTCCATATGCCTCCTTATAGTAGAACATGCAGGAAGCATTTTAGCTAGGAAGCATCCAGGGGGTGCCCAGGAAGTACATCCTATTCAGAGGTCCAAACCAACTGAACTAATGCAGAGGAGCCGTAGCTCTCTGCTGATTTCCTTCCGAATAACCAAGCTCTTCATCGTATCTCTGAGGCTGAGCCCAGACACCCTTTGGCAGAAGCTCATTTCCACTGTATCTGCGATCTTGTTCTTTTGGTCACTAACCAGAGCTCACGGCCATAGAGGAAGGTAGGAATGTAAATCGATAGCTCGCTTTCTGTCTTCACCACAATCAACAATTTCTGAGTCACTGCCACACCAGTCTGTCTGTCAGTCATCCACTCTACACCTTCCACATTTGTGAACAAGACACTGAGATACTTAAACTTGTCCACTTGTGGTAACATCAACATAATATGCTTCCATTTTTCAACTGAAGATTCTTATGTTTTAGTGTTGAGGACATCTGAAGATTTAGATAGGCATCCTCACGCTTTCTATTTCACGTCGCTATATTTCAGAAATATCTGGTGACACTTGTAATCACCAGTCACTTTTAAAGAAGACATTGCTCAGTTTAAATGATAGTACTGATTTAGTAATAATAGCCTAACTTGCTGTCACTTGGATGGCTGCCTTTGCCTCCTGCACAAAGCTTTTAGAGGCCAGTGAGTGATATCTACTTTTGTACTTTATTATCATACTTGGAGAAGACACCTGACCTTCCCTTTTATGTTTTCCCTAACTCAGTATTAAATATCTCTATAGTTCAGCTGTGGACGGACCTTAAAGGACTTGATTTTGCTGCTGTTTAAAACAGCCTTAAGGAGCAAAGTCCGAGCTAAATAAATCTATATCACCATTTGTTGCAGTGAGTTGACCCTGCAGGCCCTGATATAAGTGTCTGTACAGTAAGTGATATTGATGGTGCTATATTCTTTCTGCAAATGTTATTTTTTTCAACTTTTGTGGTAGCTTCACCAAAGCAAATGAATCCATAACCTGAAACTTAATAGGAAAAAACTGGATAAAAATTGATTTAATTACAATTATTAGGACTTCTGAGTTTTACGTATGTGAAACAAGCACATGCCTTGGAAAGGTTTATGACTACTTGAGTATGATCCATATCTTTTAACATAAAGATTTGCATTTTAGGTGGTAGAGGGCATTAAGTTACATGAATGGCATACAAAAAAGGTGTGTGACATCACCAAAATATCATCATACATCTCTTTTCATGGGCACTTATCTATTCAAGGTCATCTCCTCATGCACCTCCAGTTAGCTTCCTGCATAGCTGCTATTTTTAGAGCACTTAAACAAGGTCTATTCTGACTAATCGGGTATATAGATCTGAGTTTTTACCACAGACATCAACCTACTGGGACAGCAAACATAATCTTGTGTAATGGAGTGACTTTTGTGTCAAGGATCATCCCTGTTGATTAGCTCTGTATCTCAGTGTACAATCCAGAGGCCAAGCAACAGCTTTTTGGGTTAGAATCTGCAGCGTCCAAAATAGACATTCACAGTTTTGTCCACTGAAGACTGTCAAGGCTGAGGTTGTAATGGAGAATGTGTGTATTGAGGTTGAGCTTTTGTTACCTAGTGGCTACACAAGCCACGAAGTACCAACGGCCAGATTTGGTGTGTGGTAGTAACAGGTAAATCCATCCCATTATCCAGTTCACATGACAGACCCACATGTGCAGGTGGTCAGCTGAGAAGTTAATGATCATGCTCTATATTTGTAATATGAACAGAGAACCCGAGATGTGTTGCTGTGGTTGTTTTAGTATGTAATTATGGTGTTTGGTGTCCTTTCCTGTTGTCCTGAATTGTTTGCAAATCCTATTTTAAATTAAGCCAAACAGTTGAAGAGCTAAATACATCTCCTTGGCTCTTCCACTCATGTTCATTGTGGACTTAAATATTTGGCCACAGAGAGCAGTTTAATTAGTGCCAGTCAGCATTACCATGCTAATATCCATTCAGTTTTTCTTTGGTGCTCCATAAAGCTTCATCTCTTTATTCTTAAGTTTTTGCCCTCTGGCAAGCTCCACAGCCACTTGTGTTGTAATAAGACCTGATCAGCACCAGCAAGCTATTCTGGATCAGCCGTCTGTCCCGAGCAGATGCCAAGAAAGGACAGTACCACCCACCTAGAACTGATCTTTCTCCTATTTGCTCACCATTACCAAAAAGTGCGTTTAATTGCCTCGAAAATGGACGTCTCCACCCCTGCAATAAGAGGATCACAGCCATTAGGAAGATTAATGGGCCTGGTAATGATGTTAATCAGATTCACCATGATTGAAATTCCATTACATACAGTATGTGCAAGCACATGCACATGGTTGGCCTACTGCGCACAGAGACACCCACACACACACAAATGAGATTAACCCAAAACACCATTAGGGAAATATCCTTTCACACAAACAAAAATCTCATCACACGTATACCGTAGACAGAAATAATATATCTCTATTAATGGTCATCATTCATCTGAGGTCAGCCAGCTCCAGGACTGTCAAGCTTGAGTCGAGCTCATGTGTGAAACCTGCACTAAGAAGAATAAGAGTACCCTGAGTTATACTACAAAGTTATACTCCACTGTTTTACACCAAGGGCAGGGCTGGACTGGGACAAAAAATTGGCCCGGGCATTTTGACTAGAGACCGGCCCACCGGGTATTATATTATAGCCTCGCCTCTGTCACGCACTGACAGAGGCGAGGCTGCCGGACACTGACCACCACCAGTAGGCAACGGGTGAAGTGTCTTGCCCAAGGACACAATGACCGAGACTGTCCAAGCCGGGGCTCAAACCGGCAACCTTCCAATTACAAGGAAGGGTTTTTTTTACGGGACAGTTGGCAACTCTACTAACTAACCTTATGAATAAAATAAAGTTCACTATCATTAACATCATAGCACCCACCCAGCTGTATAGAAACTCCGTCATGCTAGCTAGTACGCAGTGCGAGTAATTGTGACTGACTATAACAATTTAGCACAACGAAAATAAACTCCACCTAAACTTGGTTTATATCTGACCCAGATAGACTGCAGGTCATAACTTCTTACCTGAAGTTCACCTGACACTCGGACCGGCGGCCGCACAAAATACCCTCTGTGCTATCCACTTGTATTGTCGGACCAAGGCACTTTTGGCTCCCCGTTTGCAACATCTGGACCAAACCTAGAACGTTTTTTGGGATGTGTGTTTGTTTTGTTTTTGAAAGAGTGTTGCAACACCAAAAGCAAATGGCTTCCCTTCATCACCTCAGCAGACACTTTCACACTATCCAATGAACAGTCTGCGTCTATATAAGATCCAGCTTATTTGGTACAAACTTTCTCCAGCAGGTAATGTCCTCAGAATGAGGCCAGTGCAGATAAAGTCATATGACGAGTAGTTGGCAATAGTCTCCTCTTTAGGTGCTGGATTTTCAGCACTGGTGATTAGATGTTTTGTTGCTCCACACAACAAAGTGATCAGTTTCCCACTTGAATCAGGGTTTGTGATGTGTCACAGCCTCATGACAAATGTTTTTAAAGGATTTTTTGAGAGAAATGAGTGCGTGTCATGTACTCATACAGTAAACCATAGAACAACAATTCATTCCTAACAATTTTTTTGTAGTATGTTGTATTAATTATCTATAGATGTCAAGCAATACATTGAATTGCCCCATATATGTCTTTATTGTTTATTTGTAGGTGTGGATACTGTATGTAGTGCTCTACTGTTTTCTGCATTAATTTTTTTGTTTGCAATTTCTTACTCAGGTCTAAGCCATGACAACACCTGGATTGGGCTGAATGATCGGACAGTAGAAGATGATTTTCAGTGGACTGACAAGATGGACCTGGTGAGGATCCAGCTGTTTTTGTTTTGTTTTGTAGTCAGCTGTTGATCCCAGCGTACTTAAAGCTCCTGGAGTTGCAGAGCAAATTTTGATGTGGTCATTGTAGCAGCAGTCGTGATTCCCAACAAAATGTTTTCTCCACTGCTTGTAGTAAAAAAAAAGTAGCACTTTTTGCTCAAGTTTGTTTCTTTAACCTTGCCTGCTTGTGTATGTGTGCAGCAATATGAGAACTGGCGTGAAAACCAGCCAGACAACTTCTTTGCTGGAGGAGAAGACTGTGTGGTGATGATTGCTCATGAGAATGGCAAATGGAATGACGTGCCCTGCAACTACAATCTGCCCTACGTCTGCAAGAAGGGAACAGGTGAGAACAACACAGGGGGAAGAAGAGGAGAGGAGAGTTTTCTGCAACTGAAACAGTTGATAAAGATGACTGAGAAAAGAGGTGAGGAGGCAGAGAGCAGCAAGATGTAAATTGGAAAGAGGAAGAGGTTGCAAAGAGTGAGAAATGTCAGATCTGAAGTGCGAGGCAGCAAGGGATCGGACTGAAGAAGGCAGAGACAGAATGAGGATGTACAGCTCACCGCGCTTTGCTGTCAGCTCTTTAGTTTCAAATCCTGTACAGCCTTTAAAATAGAATCACAAAATAGAAAGGTGATGAAAAGTTCTTGAGACTGTGTTTTTTTATGTAAAGCAGCTCGAAAATGCTGCACACCGTCTCTATCAAAGCACAGAGACTGACAGCGCACGTACCTTCAGGTGATTCTGAATATCCTGACTGTGTCATGCTTTACATTACACACAACTGTGTGCGGTGCAAGAGATTAAGACCAAGCCTCTTCAGTCACTCTGCATACCTTAGAGTCACACTGCTTGCGTCTTACAAGCCCTCTCTTTCTGATGTCCTGTCATCCTCCAGCATCAACTTTAACAAGTTTTCTACACACGGCTCATGTCCTGACTCGATTTTTTCTTTACCCATGTGCTGTTTTAGTTATCATTGTATACGCTGCTACCTCTTCTTTATGTCTCCTGTTGCAGCTGTCCCATCTAAGTGTAGGCTTCTACGTGTTCCTCTGAGAGCATATTAGAGCTTATTTTTTCATACAGGTCAAACTTATGATCAAGAGCGGGTGGCTTGACATATAAATAGTAGGGGTGCAACGATACACAAAATTCACGGTTCGGTTCGATACTTT